GGGGGGGGGGGGGGGGGAATTATGTGATTCATTTTTACAGTTCTAATCTGTGAGGTAGTAAGAGCTATCAAGAATAATCATCAAATAAAAGAGCTTTTACAGCCGGTTTTCAGCATTTTCTGTCTAAGCTGTTGACCATCACCTAACCTACCATATGAGTTTCGGCATACCAAAAAGTCAGTTATTATGGACCAAAGAGAGTAGAACTTATAGAATTTGGAAAATGAAAACTTAATTAAGAACCTTTAAATAGTCAAGACACCCTACTAATTAAGGTAGTAAATCAACAGTGGAAATAGGGCAGCTCAGTTGCCGAACCTCAACGACACATTGGTACAGTAATTATTACACAGAACTAGTAAAGAATCAAAGTCCAAAAATGTATATCATTTAATTTTGATTCAATTCCGACAGAAACTTTTCATCAGAATTAGACTTAAAACTTGATTAGAACTCTCTCCAGTTAATTTCTTAGAATTCTATAAGAAAGAATTAGTTCTGGTTAAACGCGCTCATTGAGTAAGTATTGAAATTAATTTGATTAGGCCGATACATAACTTCTTCAGTTCATGAAATTTTTGCAGGAGATATACTTATAGACCAAGAAAAAAATAGCCCGATTAGAACAAACTATAGTAGTAATAAAGAAGAAGATACTATCAACCAATTAAAGTACAATTCTCAAGAGATTACACCGAAAGGAGCTTAATTGATACAATGAGCCAAACTACTGTTTGAGATCTCAAGGATCTTACTTGAATATCAAATAATGCAAATTATAAATTAAAATGAGCACACAGCAACAGAAGCCGACCCTTTGGGGAAGCACACATAAGATTTTGGGAGAGAAAATAGAAATCCTCCAAATAGGAGGATGAAAAGGATCTAAAAATCAAGGAAATGGTGAAAATTGATTGAAGTGAATGGTTTGATTAATATTAGTAGTAGGTTGCTGGGGGAGGTGAAACATAGGTGGCATGCTCGTATTTTGCAGGTGGTGGAGGTGAGGCATAGACGGGAGTTTGCTTATAGTAGTTCGTTGGTGGTGGAGGTGAGAAGTATGATGGCGATTTTTCATNCGGAGGTGAGGCATAGACGGGAGTTTGCTTATAGTACTTCGTTGGTGGTGGAGGTGAGAAGTATGATGGCAATTTTTCATAAGTCTTTGGCAGAGATGGTAAGTTGTAAGTTATAGGTGATTGCTTGTAGTATTTTGGTGGAGGTGGAGGAGATTTGTAGGAAGGTGTAGATTCTTTGTAGTACGGTGGAGGTGGAGACTTATAATTGATTGGTGATTGCTCATAGTATTTTAGTGGTGGTGGTGGAGAGTTGTATGACGATAGTTGCTCATAGTATTTTGGTGGAGGTGGAGGAGATTTGTAAGAAGATTGTGATTGTTCGTAGTATTTTGGTGGGGGTGGAGGTGACTTAGGTGATTGCTCATAGTATGTTGGAGGAGGTAGAGGTGACTTGTAATACGAAGGTGATTTCTCATAATAAGTTGGTGGTGGTGGAGATTTGTAGTAAACTGGGGACTTGTAATATTTTGGTGGCGGCGGTGACTTATAATATTTAGAGGGAGTAGGCGATTTGTAGTACTTTGCTGGTGATGGCGACTTGTAGTAGTTCTTTGAAGGAGCTGACGACTTGTAGTAATTCTTTGAAGGAGCTGGCGACTTGTAGTATTTTGCGGGAGCTGGCGA